GAATCTTGGAGAAGCTGTACTTGTATGCTGTGAACTTACTGTGACACATAAGTAAATCTGAGTGGGTTATAATAGACACTGAGGTGCACCCCCAGAACTACTGTTAAGTGTTGGACATTAATAGTCCATAGCTTTCCCCTTCTCAGAAGTGGCCTCTGTTATAAAGTCCTGTCCCCTACTGGAGGAGATCACAGCCAATGCCTGGTGGCAGTGGTGGTGATGTGCCGTGGAGTCCGTTCCAACTCATCACGACCCTATATAGAGTTTCCAAGGCTGTAAATCTTTAAGGGAGCAGAAAGCCTCATCTTTCTCACATGGAATCGCTGGTAGTTTCGAATTGCTGACTGTGAGATTAGCAGCCCAAATCGTAATCACTACACTACCAAAACACCTACAACCAATGCCTAGCTGAGCATAAATATAAATTGCTGTCCCCTTGCCTTAAAGGGACAACTCAGTACTATTGATGTCCCCGTGGATTTGGTACCTGGGAATTCCCTGTGTGCTCATCCTTGTTTGGCCCTTTCTCCTTTCTTATTCTGCTTTAATCTCTCACTCACAATTGTTTCAGAAAGAGCAGCTTCTCAATACATCATCACAGCCTGTTGTTGTTAGGTGATGTCAAGTCAGTTTCAAATCATAGGCTTCCTACCTGTTGTTGTTGTTTGTGGTTAAGTGCTGGCAAATTGGTTTTGACCCATAGCAACCCTGTATAGGGGTTCAGAGATGCGGCTGGCGAGGTTGAACTGACAACCTAGTGGTTCAAACAGACCTTACAATCCAGCACATCATCCTGCAGAGCCACACCAGACTGCTACCTAAACTCACCTAAATCCCTGTCTCAGACTGCTTCTTTAGAAGTACTACCTAAGGCAGAGGTGGAGTACAATAAAGCAACAAAGAAGCTGAGATAGGAATGAGTCTGAGGTGTTCCAAAAACAGGGAAGTGGCCAGTGTGGCTGGAAAGAGTGCCAGAGATGAAGTCAGAGAGCCTTCTCAAGGTGCTATAGATCAGGGCGGACCTTGAAGGCCATTGCAAGGACACTGGCTTCCACTCTGAGTGAGGTGGTGAGGATCTGAGCAGGGGAGAGACGTGACCTGGCTCAGTCTTAACAGAATCACTCCGGCTGCCAAAGCGGGAGCCAAGCTGCCAACCTCATGCAGGCAGGAAGTAAATAATGGTGCAGCAATTGGCCCAGGCTTGTCTATGCTCAGAGCTCCACTCTAATCCACCTGCCTTTGTGGAGGTAGCCAGAGGCAACACATCTGGTACAGGTACTCAATACACAACTGTGGGATACTGGAGATGAACACAATCCAGGTTCCCACTCCAAGAGGAAAATCTAATTACTCACCCGTCAGCCTTGAGGAAGTCTTCAATACTACAACTGATGAGGAGAAAGGGCCAGAGTTGCTATAAAGTTCAGAGAGTGAAGGCTACGTTGCATTCAGTGTAACTCCTGAAACCTAAATAAGTGGGTACATTTCAAGAAAGTGGGTAGAGGCAAGTCACTTGATCAGAGTGGTTGTTGTTGTTGTTAGGTGCCATAGTGTCGGTACAGACTCTTAGCGACCTTATTTATGCACAGCAGAACGAAACACTGCCCAATCCTGGGCCAACCTCACTACTGTTGACACACTTGAGTCCAACGATGCTGCCACTTAGCCAATCCATCTCGTTGGAGGTCTTCCTCTTCTCTGACCCTCAGAGAAGATGGACATCATGCATCATGCAATCATTAAAAACATCTGGTTTGCAACCCAGCTCTGTCATTTACAAGTGGTGTGAGCTCAGGCAAGTTACTTAACCTCTCTGTGACTAATCCCCTGTTCTGTAAAGCTGTGAGTATAATAGTACCCACTTCATTGTAGGGTTGATATGAGAATCCTAATGAGTTGGCAGTGCCTGGAACATAATAAAGTATTATTTTACAAGGGGGCTTCAAAAAGTTCATTGGAAAACTGCATTATCTTTTATTCCATTTTCCCACAAACTTTTTTAAAGCCCCCTCATATTACACATAAACAATTTTATCATTTAAAATGAGCAAATCTGCATGTTAATTTCTGGGACAATTGTTTTCAAATTTAATGCTTTTTACACCATCTGCTCCATGACTGGACTGTAAGTACATCTTTGTGTCTACATTTCTAAAATATTACTGTACCTTTACGTTGATTAATTGCTCAGTTGCTTTTTATCACTGGCTACTTTCCAAAAAGACTAATAATGCCTGACTCTAATCAGCCCCATGTGAGAGCTCTCAGAAGCTTCCCTATGCTTTTGCCATTCTCTCACCACCCCCTAATACAAAGAACACCCACTGGCTATAAAGCATCTGAGGAATTCCATTTAGATGATGATCTCAGTCTCAAATGCTATTAGACATCCATGATTTACACTGCCTGTTAAGTGAGAAAGTAGCAGAAAGTAGCAGGCACCATAATTTCTTAATGTTCCTGTTCCTTACAAAGTAGAATGCAATCTTTGTGACTTCTAAACAAAAACAAACAAATAACAATTTTAAAAAGCCACTGGATTCTGTCAGCTAGGTTTATATGAAAACCAACAAGGTGAGGTTTCAAAAAAAATGAATTTATTTAATGCAATGCATTTAGTTAATCCTTGCCTAATGAAATACATTATTATCTCCATCACAGACTTCAGACTACCATTCGGCAGCACTTAACAACATGATCTTATTATTAATACCAGCCAGGGCAGCTGAAGAGCCCCAGGTAAGAAACTGCTCAAAGGTGAAAAGTGAGGCTCAACATAATGGTCAAGTCATGCCTTTTTTCCTTCCTCTATCAATGATTTCTCTCTAGAGACCCTAACAGCAAAGTCCAGTCTTCTTTTTCACTGAAGTCATCTGTAATTATGATAATATTGAGCATTTACTTGTTGTAACCATTGAGTTGATTCCAACTGCCCCACGGGGTTTCCAAGGCTTTAATCTTTATGGCAGCAGGTCACCCAGTTTCTCACGTATCCCCACAGAGTTGCTGGGTGGGTTTGAACCACTGACCTCTCAGTGAGCCATCCAGTTCTTAACCATCATGTCACTAGGGTTCCTTAGCATTTATTGGTGCATTCTTTCTCAAACATTGTGTCACTTGTTTCCCTATTGCTCTGTGATGCAATTCTGAAGAAATTGTTAAACATATCTGAAATACACAGCTCAGTGTTAAACTTAGAAATTAGTAATTTTTTCATATCCTGAAGCAAACTAATTCTTTGATAAATGAAAGGACCTTCAAGCACTCCATCCATTCAAAAACAGCAACATCCACCTTTAGGAGAAATCTTCTATTGAAAAAAGCAACTAAGTCTATATAAATAAATTAAACTTAGCTTTTGAAATGAAAATTCCCAGGTATTTTTTGTCATGTATATATATAAACCAAAACCAAATCCACTGCTGTCAAATGGATTCCGACTCCTAGGGACTCTATAGAACAGATTAGAACTGCCCCATAGGGTTTCCCAGGCTGTAAATCTTTACAGAAGCCGACTGCCACATAGTTTTACTGTGGAGCAGCTGGTAGGTTTGAACTGCTGACCTTTTGGCTAGGAACTGAGTACTCTAAGCACTGCACCACCAGGGCTCCTGAAGTATAAATCTATATAATGTAAATATCTTTATATGGTGTGTGTAATAGGCATTCTAGTGGTTATAATGACTATGGTCCAAAGTCATGATTTTTATCCCCAGTATTGTCAGATTTCTTTATCATCGCTTGAATAAGCCAATTAAGCGATTGTGCTTCCTTTTTCATTTTTAATCAGATGCACACCACCACAATAAGGCATTACCTAGGGGCTGTGCACCAGAAAGATGAATGCTATTGAAAGAAAAAGGTATTATAATCATCTCCAGTGTTCGGCCCATTTAGTCTGCTACCAAGTTTAGCCCATACATGATAACTCAGTCTAGGTCTGTTTGAAGTCTTTTGGCTATCAGTTACTAAAGTAATCAAATATCCATCCCAATTTTGTTGTTATGAAAGTTCATTGAAAGTGATGCAGTTAAAAATTCAACACTGTAAGTTATAAACAAGAAGTGGAATAGATCTCAGTTTGTCTAGAGAAAATCTGTCAACTGGAAAAGTTTTTATATTTAAGAAATAACAAAGAAAAGTTAAAGGCAACATCAGGTGGCTAACTAGGATTAGAAATATTCAGGTGCATAAAAAGTTCAGTATGTATATTTTTCACATTTATTTATAGCAGAGAGATAAAGAGTTATTTTACCTGGTACATAAAGACCATTTACTAATTCATTTATCAAGTCAAACAAGCATTTTTCTGCTTATAAAAATTTACAAATTAAAATGTCACATCAATTCATTCATAGGGCAAATTATTTTCAATAATAGCATAGTTTACCTTAAAAAAAAAAAAGATTGATTATTTTGTTGAGACAAAAATCTCACTCAATTCATTAATAGTATTTAACATTTTCCCACTATACCCAGGTGAGATTTTCTGCTTTAAAGAATACTGAATTGTTTACTTTCTTCAAACCATTTTGTAAATATCCCACTGTGAAAGCCACACAATCAAAACCGTTTACAAAATTTTCTATGACAACCTAAAAAAATTGCAAAGATTTCATTTTCATTTATAGTGAAAAGCTCTGAAAAGTATTTCAGTGGAAAGCCTGGCTGTCTTTGACATTATTGTTGAATTAACAGGAAAGATCTTCTCCCTAAATGAGTTCTAATTCAGTGTTAACAGATCATTTGCAATATCACCATCACCAATAAATGTTCACTCTTTTCTCATCCAGAATTCTGATCGTCATATTTTTTCTAATTCAACCCTATACTTTTGATGCATCTTCTTTTCATCTAGCCTAAGATTGATGGTGCTGGAAAGGGCTTGACGAACCCCCTCCTCATTTAATGTGCTTTGAGAAACACAATATAAAACTGTGCACACATCGACAAGATGGAGCTACTCAGAAATCAACCCAAAGTTTGCATTCAAACTTTACCTTTGCCAAATCCCCAACGTGTCTCCCAGAGTGTTCTTCACTCCTTCCTTTCCAGGTTTCACAAATTTTTCTTTGAACGTGGCAAATGCTTTAAAGGGCATTTTGAATCGGGCACGATGAAGCTGTTAAGAGTTGGTCTCAGAAACTGTCATCCTTTCTCATCTCCAGCGTGGAGAGCACTGTTTGCCTCGATGAACACACCTTGAAGTCAGTTCTCACTAGGTAAGGACTTAAGATCAAAAAAGAGATGACATCCAGTTCAAATGTTTCAATATGAGCTACCTCCCCACCTCACCCTACAAAAAAGAAAAAGGCCAAGAGGTATCTAACAGGGTACTCAGCCCCCGAGCTCAGCAGAAGCCTGTGAGCACTGTCTCAGTCAGCCACTCTCAGAGTGAGCTCAGACTCTCTCCCTCCCAGGGGCTGCAGCTGGAGGAGCCCTGAGACTGCACCAGCATTGGTGGCCCATGTCCAGCCTCCTACCACTCTGGCCACGGCCCCCTCCTGCCTTAGCAGAGTGCAGCTGTGGTTCTCACAGAGAGATCCTTTCCAAGGTAATGCTATAGTAACAGGCACAGGACCTGCCCCTCAAGCCACTCGGCCTTCTTAATGGGCTCTCAGCCAGAGCAGACATCCAGAGGGAAGTGTATTAAACATTTACAAGTCCTCTGCTTTCCTGAGTGCTGGCCCTAAAGACAGGCTCTCAGTCATCACTTTATGCCTTCCATGTCCTCATGGGAGTCATGAAACCATTTTTCAGCCAGACTGCTAGTGAGATGTGGTCCCAGGTAAAACACTTGTACTTGAGTAGGCTAAATGCAAAAGTCAGGCCACAACATCTGTTGCGGTGGTGATGGTTAAGTGCTGTCTAGTGGGTTCCGACTCATAGCAACTCTGTATAGGATTTCTGAGGAGCAGATTGTGAGTTTGAATCACCGGCTTTGCAATCCAGAGTTTATCTGACAGCACCACACCAGGACTCCACACATCTAGAAGGACATTTATTTGCTCCTGATCAACATAGCAGGACCTCTCAAGCTGTGTCACATAGATGCCACTTATCTATTCTAACTAAAGATAAGTGATCCAGTCATGAAATTGCTGCTCCTCTTCACCAACTCCTCGTTGCCCTCAGAATAAATCCAAGTTCTTTATCTAGTCTTTGTGAAGTAAAGACTCTGTGAAGTAAAGAATTCAACTTTATCCAAATAAGGTCTGGTTTTTGTCCTTGCCTTCTGCAAAACCATCTTCCTGATGTTGCTGCAGTTGTATGTCGTCGAGTTCTAACCCTAGCCACCCTGCAAAGAGTTTGCAAGAGTCACTGATGGGTTTGAACTGCTGACTTTGCAGTTACCAATCCAGTGCTTATCCTACAGCACCAGAGCCAGGCTCCGGCATGTCTTTGTTTGCCTGGGGACCTTGAGTCACCAGATAGTCTAACATTGTGACCTGGGTAGGGGCTGACCACTCCAGAAAGACCAACAATGTGACAGGGATGGGATTTTTGGCCAGGTGACACCAGCCAACTTTCATAGGGGTTGAAGATTGAGCTCAGACATGCGGGCCAGCCAACTTTCATAGAGGTTGGAGATTGAGCTCGGACATGCGGGCACCTACATGGTGGCACCTCAATAAAAACTCTGGACACTCAGGCTTGGGTGAGCTTCCATGGTTAGCAATACTCTGTGTGTTGATGTCTCACATTAAGATCAAAAAGAAGATGACAAGATACCAAAAAAGCAACATTATCCATTACTCCAAAGGAAGAGAACGGAATTTCACGTTGGGAACCTTTCCTGAACTTTGTCCTATGTGTTTTTTCCCTTGGTTGGTACTAAACTACATCCTTTTTCTTTGTGATAAAACCAAACCTTTAAGATTTTGGGAGCCTCCCAAACTTGTAATTGATGTCAGAAATGAGCATGGTCTTGTTTGAACTGGCTCTCTCTTACCATACAGCTGTCTAAGCTATCACAGCCCCTCTGACCATGGGTCTTATTTCTCGTCACTAGTTCACTGAACGCAGCAAGCCCTCATTGCCTGTGGAGCTTTGCCCACACTGTTCTGTTGAAAAAAACTCTCTTTACCCCTTTATCTGGGTAACTTCTAAGGACACTGAAGGCCCACTGAGACATCACTTCCCCTGGAAAGGTTAAAAGTCCCTTCTCTGTGCTTCCAAGTCACGTGTTATTGTCCCTGGTAAGGCCTGCCTGTAGTGATATGTGATCTAATTGCTTGTTAGACTGGGGTTGGAATATCATTTGTGTTGTGCTCACATTTATAGATAGCAGGATAATGATCATCTCCATCAATAATGAAGCAGCCATGAGGAAGCAACCCTTATCCAGGAGGCTCCTTTGCTCCAATCCTTTCCTCCCCCACACCCCAAGTTTGCATATGACTGCCAAACCATGAGCTTTAGGCTTTTAGATTTTCCAGCAGTCACTGCCGTGGACCAATCACTGCCTTCTGTCAAGGGGAAGCCAATGGACCAATCTTTCTCCAAGGTTTGAAATAAGTTCAATTAAATCAGAACTGGGTTCTCAGTAGGTTAAATAACCCACTGCCATCAAGTTGATTCCAAATTGCAGAGACGTTATGGGACAGAGCTGAATTACCCTCTAGGGTTTCCAAGGCTGTAATCTTTATGGAAACAGACTGCCTCATTTTTCTCCCACAGAGCAGCTGGTAAGTTCAAATCACCAACCTTTCAGTTAGCAACCAAGTGCTTAGGCACTGTACCACTAGGGTTATACATTACTAATAATAACTTTTCTTATTTTTGTTATTGCTAAGATATACTGAGCTCTTTCTATGCTCCAAACACTGTGCTACACACTAACTATGTATTCTCACAGTCGTCTTAACACTTCTGCTAAGGCAAACCAAAAACTAGCTGCCACTGCATGGATTCCAACTTATGGCAACTGCATGTATGTCAGAGCAGAACTATGCTCCATAGGGTTTCAGTGGCTGCTTTTTCAGAGATTGATAGTCAGGCCTTTTTTCTGAGGGGCTTCTGAGTAAATGCAAATGTCCAACCCTTTGATTTTGTTGTTGTTGTTGTTAAGTACCGTGGAGTCTTTTCCGCCTCATCAAAACCCTATACAGGGTTTCCAAGGCTGTAAATCTTTATGGGAGCAGAACGCCTCATCTTTCTCCTGCGGAACCGCTGGTAGTTTCGAACTGCTGACCTTGACGTTGGCAGCCTGACTCATGACCACTACACTACCAGAGCTCCTTAACCCTTTGGTTAGCCGCCAGGATAACTTATTTTCCCAAGATTAGCCTTGCGGGAAGAGACCCAGCCAGCAAGCAGCAGAGCCAGGTTTCAAATGCAAACGGCTTAGTTCTGCCCTGATTTGTAATCATTGTCTTTCTCTTTCCTTACTTCTTTTCTCTCTTTCTTTCCTTTCTCTCTTTCCCCGCTTTTTTAATAAAGCATAATTTTTATACCAAATAATCCACATTCAAGTGTACGATTCAACAATTTTTAGTAATTTTACCAAGTCATGCAATTATCATCATAAAGCAGATCTACAACATTCCCATCACCCCAATAAAGTGCCTCATATTGACTATTAAACACTCTTTCCCTACACCAGGCTAGCACTAGTCTACCTTCTGCCTTGATAAATTTGCTTTGTCTTCACATTTCATATAGACAGAGCCTTACACTATGTCATCTCGTGTATCTGACTTCTTCACTGATTCTGAGGCTTGTCCATGGCATGACATGTATGAATAATTTTCCCTTTTACTTGCTGAATAAGATTTCACTTTATGGCTATATCATGTTTTGTCTATTCATTGACCTGGTGATGGACATTTAGGTTATTTGCTATTTTTAGCTATTATGAATAAAACCGTTAGACTGTATGTGCAAGCCTTCGTGTGGATCTGTGTTTTCATTTCTTGTTGTTAACACACACATACACAAAGGAGTAGAATTGTTGAATCATATTCTCATTTTATGTTGTATTATACCATTACTTCTAACTTTTTAAAGAAAATCCCTAATTATTTTCTAAAGTAGCTATACCATTTTACATCTCATCAGCAATGCCTGAGGATATCCATTTCGTCACATCCTCACCAATATTTGCTATATTCTTTTATTATTATTATTATATTATCAGTTTAGCCAAGCCAGTTGCCATGGAGCCGATTCTGACTCATGCTGCTTCCATGTGTGTCAGAATAGAACTGTGTTCCATAGGTGTCTGTTGTTGTTGTGAACACACACACGCTGGTTTATGAAGTTACAAAGTAAAGTAGGGCTGCACTGCCCCAAGCTGCTGAGGCGGCAGTGCACCGACCCTGCCTGGGAGATAGGGCAGCGGACCACTGGAAGCTGTGTAGTGCTTTCTGAGACAGCACCTCCAAGAAGTCTCCACTGGGGCCCTACATCTTTTTCTTCCCGTAGCTCCAAAAGCTGCCTAGGAATCACTGGGTGTGCTAGGAACAATCATAGCCGTGTCCCTGCCACCATTTTTTCTCCATTCCAGCCCCCAACTTTTTAAAGGGCTAAGAAGCAAATTAAGGAGCTTTGGTAGCGTAGTGGTTACAAATCGGACTGCTAACCTCAGGGTCAGCAGTTCGAAACTACCAGCCGTTCCATGGGAGAAAGATGAGGCTTTCTGCTCCGTAAAGATTTACAGCCTCGGGAAACCCTATACAGCGTCACTAAGAGTCGGAACCGACTCCACCGCACATACCAACAAGAACAGCAAGCAAATTGTCCTATCAAACCACCAAGCTTTTGGTTAGCAGCATGCGCATGCGCCATTCGCACTACTTCTTTGTGGTTGTTGTCAAGTACCCTAGAGTTAGTCCAACTCACAGCGACCCTGTATATGGTTTCGAGGAGTGGCTAGTGGCTTTGAACTGAAGACTTCTGCGGTTCGTAGTCCAGTGTTTGATCTAAAGCACCACACCAGGACTCCAATCTAGTGAGCATGAAATGGTATTTTATTGCTACTTTAATTTGTATTTTCCTAAAGTGGCACTGTGGGTTAATGCTTCAGACTGCGAAGCCCTTTGAACTGCAAGGTCGTCAGTTCAAGCTCACCAGCTGCTCCTCGCAAACCCTATACAGGGT